AAAGTATCACGTACTGGATAATGTGCACTGCTGAGGAGTCCTACAATAGAGCGAAACGGCCGTTCAATGCTTCCGGGTTTTCCATGGTGGTCTAACTTTAATTGACTCATGAATTCAACTATTAAATTACTATTTTATTATTCCAGATAAAATTGGTAGAATCACTTAAATAATGAATGCATATTGAGAATCAAATAAATATCCATATACACGGATTTTTTCTATGAACTCTGATCATATTGAAAGTATCTGTGATGAACTTCAAATCCATTAGCTGATCGACGAAAGTCATATGTTTGGGTATATAATCCATAACTTTTAATCAATAGGAAAAATCAACCTTAACCCTAAGACATCGTATCAACAAATAAACAGTTTAAGCAAATTCTGATTTATTATTGATGTGAACAGAGAAACAAAAAGTTTTAACAAACTGTGGAAGCTATTTTTAGGCACGATATTTCATATAATATAAAGCTTGTAAAATATTAATATTTATTTTTGTCTCTAGTCTATTTTACAGATCATAAGCTTTCGTTTGATGTATGATTCACTGCCATAGCCCTTTTTGTTCCAAAGATATTATAATTTAAACGTATTTTTTTGTACTCTATTGTCTACGCTAAGCCCCAGCTTTGGACATAATTGTATTTCGATAATGTAATAAGAAGACAAAGATTATCAGAACTATGTAATTACATTATCGAAATTTATCAGAGGGACTAATTGCTTTAAATAATTGTATTTTCCTAATTATTTTACGTTGTGGTCAGGTTAGTCATCTGTTTATTCATGTATCTTTTTACACTGATCTAAAATTGGTAAACCAGATCGGAATTGAGAATAAATCGAGTAATGTTCCAGTTGACTTGTTTCCTCTCACTCGCATACTTGTCAGCCAATCAGATTATAGAATAGTTTTCTTCTCTTTACCCCACTTCAAACTCATGCGTACTAGCCTCAAGGTTAAACCGGTCAACCTATCTCGTCAAAGTCTTAATCTAGATTAGATTAGTAATCCTCGGCACCAAAAATGAGGTCACAATTGATTGATCACTGGGTGGCGATCAATGTCATGCGTGTCTAGTCCTTATTAGTGCAGATCGAATGGGTAGACAGATCATTATTATTGTTATTATTATTATTATTATTATTATTATTATTATTATTATTATTATTATTATTAATGATAGATAAAATCGCACTAAATCTAAACTGATTACATTAACTAAGTCAAATATACAGATTAACATGAAGAAGTACCAAAACGTTTTTCATTTCAGGGTATCTATCACACTGAATTGTTTAGATCACTTCTAAGATAATATTTCATATCATTAGTAGTTTTTTTAAATAAATGAAAATTATGTTTTTCAAGTGAAAATAATATTATCAGAAGGGGTTTGTGGAGATTTTAGAAATTTCACAGATTGAAATCATGATTCAATTGAAGCTAGACCACCATGTAAAACCTAGAAGCACTGGACATTAACACCATTGGATGCCGGCTCAGTGGTCTGGTTGGTTAAGCGCTTGACGCGAGACTGATAGGTCCTGGGTTCGAATCTCGCGGGGCGCGGGATCGTGGATTCGCACTGATAAGAAGTTCCATACTAGGACGAAACGGTCGTCCAGTGCTTCCAGGTTTTCCATAGTGGTCTAGCTTCAATTGACTCATGATTTCAATCTGTGTAAATAATATTAAACAGAGAGAAAAATCATTAAAAAGTCAATGTGAAACACTTGAAATTATTATTATTATTATTATTATTATTATTATTTTAAAAATAAAAAAAATCACCATAATGCACATTCCTTTCACACAATTCATTATTTAAAAAAAAGAAAGGTGAATGATACAAAATTATTTTTTTCAAGTTACATAATTTAAAAAAAAAAAGGTATGAATCTCAAATGATTTTTTATAAAATAAAACTCCTTATACACAATGTTTACTCTTTTTTTCTCTCTAGAGTTTACTTTATTACATCTAAATTCTTATTTTTGAAATAAAGAATGTATCATGATAAATTTTGTTTTTGTCGTTTGTTTGTTTGTTTATTTGTTTTTAAAAAGAAAATTATTGTTATTGATTTTTCAGATATTTTTGTTGATGTTTTGATTCCTAATTTGCTGAGTTTTTTTTAATAAAAAAAAACAAAACAAAACAAGATCATTTAGTTTATTAATTAGTTGTTGAAAATAAAATGTTTGAATGAAACGTTGTGTTTTTTTTTGTTGTTGGAGTCATAGTAACACAATGATTTATTTCAATTATGTATTAACGTATCTAGTTAATTTTATCATTGTTTTTTTATTTATCGATAGTATTAGTGAGTTTGATCATTTATAATGTAGATTTAGTTAAAAGTGTATGTTTGAATCAAATTATCATACCATATTAAAATAATGAAATGAAATGAAGAAGACGAATAGTAAATAAATCAAAATCATGTAGTAACAATAATAGTGAAGAAGAAACTTTGATTTGAAATGATAGAATCGAAAGTTTCGCATGATAGAAAAGCTAGTCTAAAGGAAAATTTAAAAAATGGATGCATCTGTACAACTGCAACTAACTCTGAGTTATTTTATTCAATAATATTTAACCAATGATAGTGAGGACAACAACCATGTATTTTGCATCTACTAATATGATATCAGAAACTGAAGCCACGTTCTGTTTAAGCTGCCTCTAGACTTTTTCAAAACTAGTTTTACACTAGCTAATATAAGCTGTCAAGGTAGACAATAGTCGAGGACATGTTGCATGCAAACAATCACATCGGTCGATGAAATCTCACAACCTCACAAACCGATTTTCTATCTTTACCCAGTATTCTATTTCTAGCCTCAACATTGCTCACATGATATTCACAACACACAAAACACCCATGAGTAAGTAATAGAAACCTACGAAAACCTAATATTAAAGATCACGTTTCGTAGACAAATTAAAACAGAACGAACTGTAACGTAGTATACTTGACCTTTAGTTACCAGATAGATATCTTATGCCGTGAGTGAATAAGTTGACTATGCTAAATTAAGCTCTCTGAATCCGTTTAGAGATCTTATCGAGCATCGATCAACCAGGGTTTTGGCCTCTAAATAAGTGAACTGGTTGATGCATCCAACTACTTCACTGTGTTACCAGTTGAGGCATTGATATAAACCAGTCCTGAAGTAATATTTCCCATCTGAATAAAGAAAATCTCATCCCACAGATACTTGCATTTTTATTCAAGGAGATCAGAAGAATCTACGTTTTGTCAGTGTCTTTACTAAATAAGACTATTCTAAGTAGATAATCGAACCTCCATATAGGGGGTCGACTCATAGAAATTTATAGAAATACACCTACGGGGCAACTTAGTAAAAACGGGACAGTAGATAACCCCGACGAACGTACTTAAGGTTGACAGTCATTGTAGCAATTAACCACAAACTTTTAGTGGACCAGGAGTGTTTGAGCAGAGACCCTTCACAAAGTTTAAATATTTCTTTTCTACGCCTTCCAATTTCAAGCACTGATACAGAACCTAATTTGATTGAAATCTTATTCTAAACGCAATTCGGTTAGAAAACCAAGAAGGATCTGAAATGTGCACTCCGAAATTTATGTACAGATGTCATGGGACGTTTTACATATCCCAACAAACAAAATGCTGCTTATTTGAAGTCCGGTAGTACACTTTTAAGTCATTTATGATATAGTCAATGGATTACTGCCTGATTCCTGACTTCAAGTTTACTTTTTATTATTGAGCAGCAGTCAAATATTAGTAAAGTCATCTGTATTCTAGTCGGATATACAGAACATTCTTATTAACAGGATGCAGTCATTGATCATACCATGTATTTAATCATAAGCATTCATTCAAATTATATGACATATTAATCTGAATACACTTTGGTATAAATGGGCACTAAAACAAATATGCGGTCCTCTCGGGGGCCAACTAAGTACTGAATCGCCCAATGACATTCTGAATGAAGTGTTGAAGAAATTGTGTTCAGATTCATGAGAGGTTGTTATTCAGTTATTAGCGTGATCACCTTCCCATTGGACCAACAAGGGGTATCGAATTAATAACACTTACAGCAATTTGATTATAATGTGTATATAGTTCGGCCATTATTAAACAACTAAGGAATAGACTAACAAAGCAATCCGAAACTTCTGCATATTTTTTTCATATATGTTTAGACTGTTCGACATATCCACGTGATATAAACTTTTTGATATTAGGCCTACGTATTAAATTTAAGATGGATTTCTTAAGCATTGCTATATTACGTGAAGGGGGGCTAATGATATAATTAGTTCAACGAAACAAACTTCACGATGAAAATAAGGAAAAAAACTGATGCATAGAATTTGTTATCCCATTCGTTCCAATTATCCTTGATATTTTACTATTTTACTAATCCACTACTCATAAGTACTCAGAATTATCCAGTAAATATTTAGCTAAAGTAATTTATTGATGTGATTACTCGGAAACCACCATTCATTGCCTTTTGAAAACCGATCCCTACTAAGTTCTTTTTGCTTCACGAACCCTATGAACATTACAAAAATGAAGGTATCGAACTGCTTGTTTGAAACTATCTTGAGAAGTATATCAAGCTTTGAGCATGTACATGTTTAAATAATTGAATGTTTGTTATTTCTGTAGAATCTAATAATTGTAGTTGAGATTGAAGTGAAAACTGCCATCGGGAGGACTTTGCTTCATTGTTGAAAGTATTTAACCAGTCAGCTTTCATCAGATTGGTTAATTAATTAGAAGTAATCAATGTAATCTTACTTATTCCTTACAGTAGACTGAATTATATCAACGTTAGGCAAAACGACTTAAAAGTAAGCTGGTTATCATGAAGCTAATAATGGTTCCGTATTTGATTTTGCGACGCCAGCTCTAAATGACAGTCCATTTTTGAAGGGACACGAACCAATCACTTGGTCATTATCAACACAGAGCTTAGTACAAGTGTCCTTAGGCCCAAGTTGTATTATAAAAATACACAGATGAGATTAAGAAAACAAATAACAAAAGCTTCAGATATAGTTAAAAAGACTAAACATTTGGGGAATACAATGCGGAAAGAATGAATTCAAGGAATAGCAGTTATGAAATAAAGTTGGGACTCAGGGAGAGAGATTCATAAGCTTTTTGCGATTAATTATGATTCGACATTAATTGGTTAGTTCTCATAATTCTAGTGCTAAGTTTTACATATGAATGTTCATATTTACACAACATATAAATTTCATACTATTAGTTCATCCTGTAAGAATGTAGTGAAGATTTATGAAACACAAACTGCCGTTTATAAAACTTAATGGAACGAAACAGTTCATATTTTGATACCTTATCGCATCAATGAAACCTTGTTACTATTCCCATTTCTTTATAGCTACGTAACACTAACTGTTATTTACATAAATAAACTCTATTCAAAAACTACTCGACAGTTAATCAGGACTTGGTAGAATTGGAACAACCAGAAATTAAGATAAAATAACACAAAGTAAATTACCAACTGAACAAAGTGTTTCAGTTACATCAATGAAATTATATACAGTTTGTGAATAGCAGAAATGTATCGATGACAAGCAAAGGAGCAACTTGAGAACTTATTAACACAAAATTATTCGAAAAATAAAGTGAGGCACCTTCTAAAATGTTACATTAGCGTTTTCAATCTAATAGATGGCTAAATAAATAGGGATGTAGATATCCATCTTCACCAAACTGACAAAAATATGGTATAATGATGCACCACAAATTCTGGCAGAACCTCAAGGTGCATAATGAACAATTTTATCGCAGTAAGCTTTGGAAAGAATGAAGATCAAAAATCAACACAAGTGTTTTAACGTAAACGAAGGTTTATAATTACAAGGTACAGTGATGCTGCGGAAGCAACTTTTGGGACAGATTTTTAGTACAAATAAACCTAAGTCAGCAGTGGAAGTACAGTGTATTGGGTGCTTGAGCAGTCTATTCGCTAAAGTCAAGATCAAGTAAACAAGAGAAAGACAGTCGTCTATACATCACAAGTAATAATGGCATTGAATTCACTGAAAACTGGAAGGCACACCTAGCTTTTGAGAAAAACTATCTAGTAACTGTCATTTAAATTAGCAGGGTTATCATGGATTTTGTCTGGTTTGTTATTCGACATTTCAGAAGGCGATTCTTCGTCAATTTTCTGAAAAGATTCACACTCATTGAAGTTTGAGGGAGTTGATTCTGGTGAAAAGCGACTGGCAGTAAAATGAGGTTTTTGTTTATTACGCATACTTTCAAGGTATTCACGTCTGGACTGTTCCATGACCATAGCAACCAAATCATCTTCCTCCATTCCTGTAAAAACATAAGCAAAAATATTCTCAAGAAATATGAAGAGATACATAACATTTTCTTACAAAATACTTAAATTATGCTGTCTACGAGGATATAAATTCCCGAAATTGCGCGAAAATATTTAGAAACACAAGTACTAGAATTTCATCCTCATAATTACAAAATATTAATAGAACGTGGCTAAGGTTTTATTGTTCCAAATTACAAAACTTGATGCAATGAAGCGGTAAGAAATCCTCTACAAAGCAAAATGGCAGAACAATTGACTCTGAAGAGTACTGATATATCTGAGGTAGTTGGACTGACAATTTGATCACGAAACCAAGTAGAATTCAGAAGACAGAAACACTTGTTGGCTGAGTATGTAGAAATATATTAGGAAACTATATACATTCAGCTAGAATACTATAACTAGTGATTACTCGTTAGTCATTCAATAAATAATCAAGGACGAAAGTCATTAACAAATCAACATAAAAATTGAGATAAATACCGGTCAGATTAAGTCACCATGCCAAATCACCCTTATAACATTTAGCAAGAAGCGATCAAATAGTCGATCCACCATGTCTAATACAATGACGATAGATATTACTTTATAAGTCGTTGGTAGCAAAATTACGAACGAATCTGTACAACAAAGGTCTTACTTTAGAATAACAGGACTACATCACAAGCCCATGAAATCCTGGACTGGTCTGCTGCGCAGGAAAAAGCAAGTTTTCTGACGAGAGATTAATTGGGGATCTTAACTGACAGGTCGAAATTGATATGGATGCATATATCCACTACTCAAAACTTGAAGCTTAATGTCACTTCATGTTACTCGCTTTTCAGTTTTATTGGTTGCGTGTAGACTATAGTTCTTGTTTGGTTACCCAGCACTCTTGACGTCACTACTGATCCTTTATTTTGTATCGTGACTTCCCTTTACGATGCCGGAACAATTTTCGCCGATATATTTGGAATACTTTTATCCAACCTAGTAATAGTTCTTGCACTGGGATGAGATATTTTTTGAGGGAGCTAAAAACACTGACTGCCTAGACCGAAGTAGGTAGGAATAAAATCGAGTCTGTGACACAACAATTCATTAAGGTATATTGTTCCTATATATATCTGTCCAGTTAACAGAACACCAAGTTTCGCATATTCTTAAATAATCAGGTCAGTTATTTGATCAGAAAGTCACTTCTAACCTTGTCCTTCGAAGACTATGAAATTCCTCTAGTAAGGAAGTTACGCCAATGTATTTACAGCCCGTGGAAATATCAGTACGTTAGAATATTGTGAGGATCTAACCCAGTACAAGTTCATTTCGAAGCCGCAACTTTATATGGGATTCATACTTTTAAGTAAACCTGATGTTTGTTTACATTTAGTGTGGAGATGGGTTTACCTTAAAACGAGTCTGGCATAAACTGAGGGATAATATGGATTCGAATTCACACTTTAAGAAGAAGCGGACATTCCGCACACACCGCGCAGTGTAAAAGTGAGTTGGAAGCTAGACGCAATCAAACCAAGACACAACATCAGCCCATAAAGTCATTGTGGTCTGAAATATATTAATGGATGGATGCAGTTTATCTTATTGGGGTCCGCGCAACAACCGCTGCGATTGGTTGAAAACTTTAGATGGCATTTAGTGGCGCAGGTTCATCCACCATTTATCTCCCTCTCGACATTGAATGCTAGTATCCTTCTATATATACCTTTCCACTCGGCCTTTCCGAACCATACTTCGAACGTTTAACCTTTCGCGTTATCATCGCTACTATATTATTTAGGTCATTTGCAGCTCAAGAACAGATAGCATTGTTTCAATACGCCAACTAAACACTACCAATAAATTCACTACTGGAATTAGTGTCGACTTGACTGTAAATGCAGTTGGTTAATGGATGAAGTGAGTTAATTGTCAGTCTATCATATCCTGTAGATTTACTGTCCTGGTGGGAATGGAAATTGTTAGCACATATGTCGAAATACTAAGCTCAACCCGAAATTTTGTTACCCGCCAGTTTTTCACGATCAACCAGTTCGAAAAAATGTAGTAAAATTGTTTAGGAAGATTCCTTAGCACCCCAATTTGAACTAGATCATATTTCTTTTACCCATTTGATAACCAGGACTGATGCAAAGTAACCGACAACACAGTTAAAGAGCATCATGAGACCATGAAACATTGACTACAAGCTGAATTAGTGCGTATTACGAAACTTCATCCTCGTTAATCATGTAAACGACCGGAAACTTACCTAGCATATTGGGTGGGATATGACGCGAACCCAAATCAGTTTGAGAATGAGATGAACTAGGTAGCGGTTCATTTGCTGGATTTCTGTACTGTTTTGAATCGGGAACTGCGGCTTTTGATGAAGATGCTACGTCGAAACTTCTTGCCAAACCTGTAGGGAATCCGGATGTTAATGTTGCTTCCCGCTGATCACCATGTAGGTCCAGATGGTCGGGTGTGGAAAGAGAGTTAGCTGAATCCCTTACCTTCTGCAAGATCAGAAATTTATCAGCATCCGAGATCGGAAACAAAGAAAAGGGCCCATAAATCAATTGTTTTTTACAAGTGTCTATACACGATATGAATAAATAGTTTGTGCAAAAAACAATACAATTATGGGAAGACACATATTTGCGTTTCCCTATAGGTCACATACCCAATGTGGATTTCCTGCACGAACGCCCCTTATCTTAGAAACAAATCATAAATAACCAGTAGTTCCGAGTCCTTGGATTATCCCACCTAATAATCCAAAACATCCAATATGGCAGAGAACAACAACCCATAATTCGCCAGAACAAGCGGACGGCGCCAATGGGCACTTAAGTATCTAAAGCCGGTGAATGGTCAAGTTTATGTCAACTCATTACTCATCACGTTTCATGTTCACAATCAACTGCCTTAGTTTTATAAAGTAAACCACTTAGTCTCACTAGAGTCCAGTACATTAATTTATGACCATTATAATTACCGAGAGATAGTGAACGGGAGTTATCAAGTCCTCAACTTCAGAATCAGTAGCTACTATGATACCTTTAAGGGTTACATTTGTTGTTGAAATGGATCCTCTAAAATTCGAAATTCTTAAGGTTTTTTCTATCTTAATACGATATTTACATAACAACTGGTAATTTTGTCGCTACCTCAATTGTGATGCACACCCTTCGTATTCAACTGGATGTCGGCAACACTAAGTTAGAGTGGAGTTTATTACTATTAACAAAGTGTGATATAGCTGTTTTATCTGCAGTTCCAGTTTTAGCGTACGTACCGTCGCTGTTCTGTATGCATTTAGAAATTGTATGGTAAATATGCTGGATTACAGCAATACAACTAAACATTTGAGACAGACTCGCTATCCACTTATTTAGGAAAAGGATGATAGACAACTACTTAGAAATAACACACTGAGAATAAGTCTACCAAATGTTAATTATAGTATTAAAACATACCGGTACTGAGATCTGATTGAAATAATCGAAATAAGATTCCCTGACAGCTTGGTCTTCAATACACCGATTAATTGCATCCTGTTCTGTTTCCGCTAATTTATCACGTAGCATAGCCTCTTCAAGGTGGGTACTTTCAGACTCTCTGATTGCGCGAGCAATAAGGTCTGGTTCAGCCAACTGAAAAAGGATTAATGGTATTATGGAAACATACACTGGGTTGGTAGTTAGGCATCCCTAGACCGTGACCAAATGAAGGGTTGAAAGGATCCACTATTGAATTATAGTGGACACGGCCATGGTAGCTAAGTCTGATAGGAAACTCCTTAGAATAGTCAGCATGGAAAACATTAATGGGTTCCACTGAACCATGGTATATTTCGACAGGTCTGTTGTATAGTTCTGCGATAGCCTGGATCTCCACATGATTTCCGTAACAAGAAGCATCTCTCTTGCGTGATATATAGTGATCGAAGTCCTCTGTCAAGTACTGTGAAAAGTGCTCCTTGTTTTTCACCTTAAAAAAATTTCAAGGGAAAAGGAGTCGATAAGTTACCATGTAATCTATAACCTGCGAACGAACTAGATCGTGCTTCTCTTCATCACCGAATATTTGATGAGCTGTAAAATCTACATTAAAGAATAATAACCTACAAACACTACGGAACAAACAAGCACCATCAGATCCCACCTTAATTAACTTCCACCCCTTCTTTTCTGCTAGCAATCGTTCAAGACAATCATCTGCAGGCTTAATCAATTAGAGTACGGTGGATAATAGCCTTACCTGGGTGGGTGAACCCCTTCTGCCTTGCTTCCCGAAATAGTATTCATCCTCACTGTTGTTGCCAGAGCCGTCATCTACCACATTGGGTTGAGGTATTACCTGGTTTGACTTATTTTCTCGTACATGTGGTCTGCATTCGCCAGCGTTAAGGGACTCATGCTGCTGAGATACTAAACGTTGGGGATGGGTGAAAGCCCCATGAGAAGGGAAAATGGATGCATCAATAGGGAATGGGTAGGTCAAGGGTGAGTGGGGAGCTTCAATATCTTGACTAATATTGGGCTCATGGTGAGAACAGCGGTGTCTATTACGATGAGAGAGAATATCTTTACGTTCTTCGCTATAAGGATACGGCTTATAGCCGAAACTATGTCGACTATTCGTAGAAGTCCCTGGCGGGTCTCTTTCAGACTTAAGTCTATCTTTTCGATTTTTTATGGTCATCCCAGACTGTTCGCAGGTTGTGTATAGTGAGAGTTTACCAATTATATCGTCAACAAGATTATCCAAACGAGAATCCGGAATATCGGAGTCGTCAGATGATTCTAGACTAGATCCGCCACCAGACGATAAACCGCCTTCAGACACCATTACATAGTAGCGCCATTTCTCACTCGTCTGTAAGATGGTCAGTCTTATTTCGAACTGCCGTAAACAAATTTCATAAGACCACAGAAGAACTTTCCCATACTCGCAGTAGGAGTAGAGAAACGGAAAAGTTATGATGTTCAATGTACAATATTCTTAATGCTACCAATTGGACTCCAAATTACAACGTTATGGATGATTTAACAGCCATCGTTGCATCTTAAAAGCGATTTTATGAATCAAAGGATATTTTTGGCGGATATAAACTACCTCGTAAGATACTCGTGTCTTCACATCACTGCTAGGCTACATTTCCTCATCCTGCCCCATCTAAAAGCTGCAGTCTTTTATATAAAAAGGAACCTTTTAGGAAAGAACAGTACAAAGAAGTATTTCAACACACCAAGTTTCGGTTGTACACCAGTTAGGCCTGCTTTTGCATCTCTGACCACGCTAAACAGAGAAAACCACTATTACAGAGAACGAAATTGAGCTCAGCAAATGGCTCAGAAAGGGTTCTTCCAGTGCCGATATCAAGCTTAGCCCGATGAACATAGTTTCTCTAACGTAAAGCTGACCTGGAACAGCTAAAAAGTGGTGCAACATGTGATCTGTAAATGGCAAGCCCAAATACCGAAAATATCTACACAATGACCAACACCGTTACTAGCCATCTCAGCAATCGTGTGGGTAAAGTTAAACAGTAGTCAAAACGATTCGAACACGAAAGGGATTAAGATGAGATAAAACCGGACAACACTGGTACACGAATATCTTCTGTGAAAACATTCTGGAACTTAACAAGATGATGGGAATCTGCATCTAACCGGAATATAATAGAACCACAACTCATGTCTTATAATCTGCCCCGTTACACAAGGAGTAGCTCTCCAAAGCAGTTTGAAGAGTGATCTGGCACGGATGCCTGCCTGAGCGTCCTCAGACAGCTGTGTGTCAAACTAATACGGTCAGCTTCAATGGCGTATTATAGTGAACGAGAACACTAGTAGGGTCAACCAAATGTATTTGAGTTCAAAATCACAGAATCTCTTTGTAAAACCTGAGAACCATATAGCAAATACTTCATTTGCAAAATGTCAATCAACTGTTTCAGACTTGATTGTTCCTTCGTTCTCAGACCAGTTATTCTCTGTTTTCGTTCTCTTCTCATCGATCTTCTTAATCTTCCGTCGCCAGGCATTTCACTTTCAGCTGATGATACATACTACTTAAATTTGTCGACATTAGTAGCACACACAACAGTATGATTGCTATGGTATTTATTGAAAGAATTGTTTAAAGCAACAGGTACTTCTTCACACATATCTCGAGAACTATTTTAATATTCAGTAACTCGAAGAACTACGAGACCGTTAAAGATTTGTAGCGGTATATAAATCCCCGGAACCAATAGCTCTGTAGGTCTTCAATATTTAGTGCTTGCTGCATTAGTTTTACTGGGCTCACCTAGCTGAAGACTCACTCACCCATTTTGATTTAAATGTGTTGTCAGACTTCGATTATAAAGGTGTCATTGGTTAGGGTGTTTTGAAAACCCAGATACTTTTAGAATTTTTAATGGTGGGCACGATGTGATCTAGTACACCGATTCGTAAACTATGAGTCAGTCCATTGTTGGAACATTATTGATCATTTTTTTAACTTTCGTTTATTCATATTTCTATATTTTCTATATTTTCGGACATTTTTTAGCGTTCATTAGTATATTTTGTATTCATCATGATCGAACGGACTCCTAAGTTATTTGAGATCAAGACTTTTTCGCCTTGCTAATCTCTACTGATGCCATTTTGGCCTAACAATATATGGGCTCGGTTCTGCAGAAGCTGGCTTCCACGAACACAGCTTGTCAGACATACATGCACAATTCCTCGCAGTAATGAAGTCACTATCACGTGATTCCAACACGTGTGTCACACCTAGTGATGTCTATGAACATTACGAAACTTTAAAAAGGCTCATCTTAAGCGTGGATATCTTACCAACAGACAACGGTCAGACAAACTCTCTAAAAAAATCTATCTACAACATAGTTCAGCAATAGGCGCATCCGACTAGGCAGTCGCTGGAGTCTTGCAATTATGGATAAATAACACCTGGCGACTGTTGGCATTATTTTCCGGATGATTGCAAGACACCGAAACAACGTATAGCAGTTTCGGCAGGGAACAAGAGCCATGAATTTTACTAAACGGCACTGTCAACACTCCGTGTAAGGCCAAGAATTCACTCTGTTTACTGACCATAAACCTCCTATATTTTCTCGAAACCCGACGTCAGACATTTACACCGCACAAGAAATTCGACAAATGGACACCATTTCCCAGTTCCCTTCAGATATGTAACACAGCTCTAGGACAAATAGTGCAGTGCGGACACCATGTCTCATACAGCTTCCTTGAACGGTTTCCAAGAAATCGACCTTCTTTAACTCACCTAGCTTCAAAAAGAAGACATAGATTCTCAGCACCAGTTATCTTCAACAACCTTAGGGCCGCGTATTAAACAGATGAGAGCAGGCAGGAAAACTTAACTATATGACTCATATACAGGTAAGGGTCGTCCAATCGTGCCGAAACATTATCGACGCAGTGTCTTCAATACGTTGCACAAACCTTCTCATTCGGGTGTTTGTGCAACCATCAACCTCATAGCGAAACGGTTTGGCTGGCCTGCTATGAATAAATATATGAGGGAGTGTGCACGCTCCTGTGTACGTTGCCAAAAATTCAAGGTGGATTGGAACAATAAATGTCCCTCAGGCTCTTCCAAAACCTCCGATGCCCACTTCGACCCTGTTCGTCGGGACTTGGTAGGACCCTAGCCAGATTCAGATGGATACTCTCATCTCTTGACTTGCGTAAACCGTTTCACTCGATGGCCAGAAGCTGTGCCCATCAAGGACTTACTGCTGAAACAGTGGCCCGTGTCTTCGTCGAACGGTGGATAGCAAACTTCTGCTGCCTTCAGTTATCACTACAGACAGTGGACACCAGTTCGAATTTGAACTTTTCCGTTGTCCGACTACACTACATGATTCCGAATGACCGCCTACCACCCACAAGCAAACACGTTAGTAGGACGATTTCACCGTCAGCTTAAAGCTTCACTCTTGGATACAAACGGTTCACGGTGGACCGACGCTCTTCCATTCATCTTACTTAGTACCCTCAATGCAGTGAAAGTTGACGCTGGATACACTGCTGCTCAACTCGTTTATGGGACGACACTCAGACTTCCAGGAAAACTCCTGATCCTTCATCTCTTTCGGGGAATATAGATCTAAACTCCCACACAAACAGGTTTACAAACACAATGATTTCAGTTAAACCTGACTACGACTGACCACAATCAACTGATGTTTTCTTTTAGCCTGTCCTACAACATAGTATACACGTATTTGTACGTCGCGGCTGACTTCAACGACCAATCGAAGTGGCATACGAAGGACCCTTGACAGTCTTTCAGAGTGAATCTTAGTACTATATAATCGACAGAACGGAATTAACGACAACTTCAGCATCGAAGCTCCATATTTAAAAGGAAACCCTATTCATGTCGATTTTCTTTCGGTACAACAGAAAGACATGAGTCGTACATTTGCGATACCTCATTTGATAACCAACAATAACGATTATTATTATTATTATTATTATTATTATTATTATTATTATTTACAAAGATCTATTGGGTACATAAGTGTCGTGAAGAAACTATTTTGGGTTTCTTCAAAAATGCAATAATACGCAAGTTTCAACAATGTTAGCACTATATTCGCTATATTCGAAAAAGAGAATAATAATGATAAATCAGGTTCTGCGTAATTAGGAAGAATACTGAATTGAGTTTAAAGAAATAAAGGAAGAAAATAAGGGAATGGAAATAAGGGAGACGTGAAATGTGCAAATAGTTTAATGTGTGTATTGATGGACACAGAACAAGAATAAAGGACATGTAATTTGACATATCGTCAAATTAGTAACAAAAATAAATTAGAAAATAATTAAGAAAAAACTTATTATTGCAGTAAGATATGACGCTAGAATGTTTTTGCAGGCATAGATTGGAGTGATGATATGAAAGTCTCAATTAAGTGAAAAGGATAATAAAATATCAATATGTATGAGTCATATATGCACTGTGAAGATAAAACAAGTTTGAAAAGTTAATTTAAGCGTAACACAAATTGTTGTCTTAATTACAAACTTCGTAAACTTAAGAACAATATTTATTTAAATGGAAAAAAGAGAGAAAAGAAATGAACGCCTAGTGATAGGGTTCAACTATGAAAATAATAATAATTGTGCAATGAATACGACCTCTGAAGTAAGCCTGCAATTTAAAAAAATGAGATGAAAAAACCTGTCACTGCGCTCGGATAAATACATATAGATTTATATAATAGTATACAGAGTGAAACTGGATATTAATATAAACATGTGTGCAATAATAATTAAGAATGATGTTATGAAAGTCACAATTAATTGCAAATGATAATCAAATATAAATTTCTATGTGTTAAATATATGTGGTGATGATAAAACGAACCTGAGAAGTTAATTTATTTAAATGTACCGTGAAATAATCTGTTTCTGTTTATAGACATGGATGGTTAGGAATAATATATGTTTAGAAGGATGAGAAGAAGTGAAGGAATATCTTATGTATCGAGGGACCAACAGTGATATAAATAACAGTAATTATTGATACGAACACAAGCAGACTTCATATATTAAGATGAATAGAAATAAAATTAAATGGACGTGAAAAGTTTCAAGGATTACATTTTGCTTTTCAGTCAATAAGATAGGTGACGGATCTTGTTTGTATAAATCATTATTCAACATATTGATATTCCATAGGTAACACAATCCTTTTTCGGAAAGAAAATTATCAGGTAGACTTCTGAATCTGGTTGTAGTTTCACTACAATGGAGGTTCACTGGCAGTCCGTTCCTTATGGTTGAGTAGAGAATAAGGAAAAAATTCTGGCGCAGGTTTATGTAGGTTCTTTGAATCGCTAGAATATTCTCCTTATTGCGTAGATTGTGGGATGATATCATAAGGTATGAAAGGGTGGATACCGAGGAGTAGGAAATACCGTTAATAAGCCGGTAGATAAAGGCAA